CCAATGTATATATATTCCACATATTTAACTCTCACCTTTATTTATTTAAGCTACCTGCAGATAGAGAGGAAAAAGAAAATGGCAAGGAATGAGAGGATAGGAGGCCTTTCCTATTAGTAAATTACACAATGTTTATAAATAAAAGCAGAGTTCAAGCAAATGTCTTCCCCTTGCTACAGGCACTGATTCAACCAAACATTCTGGCTCAGTAAACTGGGATTCTTGGAATCATTTCTCCAAATATGTACCTAACACTCTAATTAAAGTCCAGAGCCATTTATCTCTCTAATTGCAACCATGCCCTCCAGGATCATTTCTTCACAGATGAACCATTCTTCTTTTTTGCCTGAGCAAGTGACTTTAAAACCACCTGGAGCCAGTCCAAATTGTGAAGTGACAAATTTACTGACAATGAGATCACACCAGAAACAGCACGACAGAATATAAAATGAGCGAGGTTGAGCAAAGTGTGATTTTTCATCAGGCTCCAATAAGTGTTTGACATTAATGTTTGAACATTATTTGGATCTTATTTGAAATTTCTTTGGAAATTGGTGGGTTTTTCCATGAATTAAGTTGCACCCCAATACTAACCTCTGTTTTTTGAAAGTAGCAAGAAGAAATGGCTTTAAAGAACTCTGAAAACTCTGAAAACTGATCTAACTACCATACCAATACTGTCCAGTAAACATTTGTTTGGAATACCAGTCCTCCTAATACATGTTGCATTTTACACTGGGAATATCAAACAATTGTGATATGGGACAGAAGGAAGAAGTTAAGAAAGGCAAACAATGGGGCAGGTAAGAATCCAAAATACAAGGAGCAGTGGCAACAGGCACAGTCGATCATCTCTCACAGAGACGAATATTTGCAGTCCTGTGGTCATATGTAGACCTCACAGCCTTTTGTTGTAACCCTTGGAGCAATTTTTTATCTTGGTTGCTCAAATGTGATAACAGAATTTCTCCCCTTTTTGAAATGGAAAATAGAGTTTCATCCTGTCACCTCAATCACCCCTTCCCTTCCTCTCCAAATATTAAATGCTACCCTTGGGTGACATACCTGGTCACGTTGCCACCAGATTTTTGTATCAGCTGATACAAAAATTTATGCCACCAGATAAAGACCGAATGCACCAATTATCACATTAAACAAGAGGAAAACCTTCTACGCGCCAATTCCACCCACGCTTTCTACAATTTTGTAAACAACAAACGAAAAGACTCAAGGTCCATCCCACCCCTGAAAGGACCTAATGGTAAAGACTGCAATGATGACATCATTAAAGCCAACCGCTTTAACACATTCTTTGACTCAGTATTTGTAAACAGCAATGGATCATGCCCGGTATTTCCTAGTTGAACCACAGACAACTACAATGATCTAATACAGCGGTCGCCAATCAGTGGGCCGTGAGAAAATTTTGGTGGGCCACAGAGAAATCTCACCCCCAGAGCACCTCCCAAAGCAATTAATCCAGGCTACGCAGAAACCAGAAGGCTGCTCGGCCCACATGGCCAGTGGGAACCCTCCCTGCCCACTCACTCCTTACCCGGTAAACTTGTCTGCTAAGTTGCTATTTTTCCTTTATCCGACCATCATCTGTTCTGCTGTGCCAGGAGATTTAGATTAGCTAGGAAGCAGGAAATGGTTGGATTTCTTGCTTTCTAGCTAAGCACAGCCGAACCTCCCTTAGGACTGAAGGTTTGCTTTCAAGCAAATTCAGTGCAGACTCACAGCAAGCAAATTCAGTGCAGACTCACAGCAAGCAAATTTGAGAGACTGAGCTAGCCAATGGCAGATAGATAGATCATTGAATGATTCTGTGAGCAACTCAATCTGCATGCTTTGCCTGATTTTGGATAAAAGTTGATTTTTTATAAAAATTTCAATATTTACATACATGGTGTGTTGTGAGTTAATTTTGTGAGTTTGCTTGCTAGCAAATTTTATGAGTTTGCTTGCAAGCAAATTTTATGTGACAGACTGAGCTAGCCAATGGCAGATAGATAGATTTCTGAATGAATCTGTGAATCTGTGAGCTGCCTGCCTGCCTGCCTTGCCTGATTTTGGGTAAAAGTTATTCTTTTTTCATACAAAATTCAATATTTATATAAATATTTATGATATTTATATACAAGCCATGCCCAGCCAGTCACATGACCACCAAACCACACCCACAAATTAGGCCATGCCCACAGAACCAGTTAGTGGTCCCTGGAATCTAAAATTATGAGTTTGGTGGTCCCTGAGGTCCAAAAGGTTGGCGACCCCTGATCTAATACATATCAATTTTATAGAAGACAATATTGAAAAAGCACTACACAATCTAAAACCATCTATTGGACTGGATGGAATATGTGCCTACTTCTTAAAAAAACTTCTTAAAAAAACTACCCACTGCCATAGCCGAACTTCTAAGCATAATCTTTGAAAAATCTTTCAGGACCAGCTCCTTGCCAAAACTATGGTCACAAGCCACAGTCATCCCTGTCTTCCAAAAGGGAGACCCCAGCCTAGTTGAAAATTACAGACCAATCTCTTTATGCTGTGACACCTGTAAAGTCATGGAATCAATTATTAACCAATCCATTATCCTCCACTTAGAGACAAACAACGTACTCCCTAATAAACAATTTGGTTTCAGAAAAAAACTATCCTGCAATCTGCAACTCTTACACTGCAAAAACATATGGACTACACAACTCAATCAGGGCAAAGCAATAGACGCAATCTACATAGACTTCTGTAAAGCCTTTGATTCAGTGGTACACAACAAACTACTCCTAAAACTAAAATCTTATGGTATCTCTTGACAACTGCACAACTGGATAGAAGCATTCCTCTCAAACAGACAACAAATGGTCAAAATTGGGAGTGTCCTATCAAATTCTGTACCGTCAACAATGGTGTCCCCCAGGGCAGTGTTCTAGGACCAAATCTCTTCATACTCTCCATAAATGACCTCTGTGATCATGTTAAGAGCAACTGCATTCTCTTCGCTGATGATGTAAAGCTATTCAACACCACAGACAATACTGCTACCCTTCAAAAAGACCTCAACTATGTATCAGAATGGTCAAACAAATGGCAACTTCAAATCTCAACAAACAAATGCTCTGTCCAACATATTGCCAAAAAAAAAATCAGAAAATAAATACAAGCTGAATAGTCAAGATCTTGTTGATGATCCAAGCTCTGTAAAGGACCTTGGAATACTCATCTCTAATGATCTAAGTGCTAGAGCCCACTGTAACTACATAGCCAAAAAGGCATTAAGAGTTGTTAACCTAATCCTACGTAGCTTTTTCTCTGGTAATATCACACTACTAACCAGAGCATACAAAATATTTGCTAGTCCAGTACTCGAATACAGCTCATCAGTCTGGAACCCACATTACGTTTCTGATATTAACACAGTTGAGAAAGTCTAGAAATATTTCACAAGAAGAGTTCTACACTCCTCTACTCATTACAGAATACCTTATGCTACCAGGCTTGAAATTCTAGACCTAGAAAAACTAGAACTACACCGCCTCCGCTCCGATCTAAGTATAGTATATAAAATCATACATTGCAATGTCCTACTTGTCAATGCATACTTCAGCTTCAACCATAACAATACAAGAGCACACAATAGATACAAACTCAAGGTTAAGCACACCAAACTTGATTGCAGGAAATACGACTTCAGCAATAGAGTGGTCAATGTCTGGAATACTCTACCTGACTCTGTGGTTTCTTCCCCAAACCCCAAAAACCTTAACCTTAGACTGTCTACTATTGACCGCACCCCTTTCCTAAGAGGTCTGTAGGGGGCGTGCATAAGCGCATCAACGTGCCTACCATCCCTATCCTATTGTTTCTTTTATTTTTCTTATATGTATCCATTTCATGTATTCATAACTATGTTTATACTTATACCTATTATCTTGTAAGCAATTGACAAATCAAATAAATCAAATCAAATCAAGTGCTACCCTTGGGTGACAAAGGAATGTCCAGCCTTGTTTTACTTACAAACCATCATGTGCAAAAGTGAGCGTATGAATGTAGTTTCAATCTTGAGGTCAAATTTCAACCATCTTTTAGGAATACAGTGGATAAACATATGAGGAAGGAAGGAAGGAAGTTTAATTTTACTTGTGCTGGTCTCAGCACATCATATTAGGAATTAATGCAAAGTGCTCCTCATGGTGAAAAGCACAGATTGCCTGAGAAAGCACTTCAAGTGCCTTGGGGAAAAGGTATCCTAATAATAGCAATATGTGCATTGTTATAACTGTGTTGCTTTCTTTTGAACAAAAAAAAAAGTTAAAGTGGTTTTGAAAGATAGTGATTCAGTTGCCCTCAAAGCCAACAATAATATGCTAGCTTTTAGACAAGCAAAGTAGGTCTGGTCAGTCAACATTACAGATTATATAATTCCCAGAGAATAGAATATATATATAATAGACACACAAAGAAAGACACACAGGGGAAAAGATTAAAACTGTTAAGTAGGTGCACAGAGTGAAAAGGCAGGACACGGACGGAGCAGGTAAAACTTTTTATTCAGTTGTAAAAAAACACAAGCTGCTTGGCCATGGCTGGCACTGGCTTATACAGCCAGTGCTGTCCAATGTTTTAGCCACTGACGGGACTTTATTTCTCCCGCCAGTGGCCGGTCCAATGAGTGGAGTCTGACATCAGATTCCACTCCTGTGACCATATTTGGTAATACTTAATACCCCTCCCCTCCTAGTTAGTGTTCCACCAATCCGCACTCGTGTACCTTACGTAGTCACTCAGGTAGGTGGGGCTTTGTGGGGTGCGACTGGATCTGCGCACCTCACTCCTTCCTGGGACGGCAGCCTGTTTGACAGGTCTGCTGTCGCTCTGGTCCCTGCCTGTGGAACAGTTTCAAAGTCATCTTGAGATGCAGCAGGGCCCATTGAGCTGGAGGCCTCAGAAGTACACCTCTGTTCTCTTCGGGTTTGAGATTAGGCGGTTACCTATTTCTGTGTGTTCTGTGGGTAGGGTCTTTGCTAGTGCTGGTTTGGTTTATGCATGTTGGGCTTCTGGCTGTTTGTCTGTGATAGGGATCCGGCCTCTAATCTAGTCTATGTGTCTGTCCCACAATTTTCCTTCTTTCTCTACCCGGTATGATCTGGGTCTGGTAATTCCTACAACTTTGGCTGGTACCCAGGTTGCCCCCCGTGTAATTATGTGCATAGATGGGGTCCCTTTTGGTGAAGTGCCTGCACTTCCCTGTGGCATCAGCGGGGGTCTCATTGTTGTAGTTGGGGTGTATTCTATCTAGGGTCAACCTAAGCCTTCGGCCCATCAGCAGTTTGGCAGGGCTATGGCTTGTTGTGGCATGGGGCATGATGTGTTGGGCTAATAGCATTCTATCAACCCTTTTCTGCCAGTCCCCCAGACCCATCATCTTGAGGGTTTCTTTGGTAGACCTGACCATTCTCTCTACTTGTCCATTGGTGGCCGGGTGTGCCAGCGTGGAGAGTCTGTGTCTGATCCCCAATCCCACTAGGAACCCCTCAAAAGACTGCGATGTGAACTGTGGCCCATTGTCAGACACTAGGACGTCCAGCAGTCCATGGGTTGAAAATAGCTTCCGGAGGGCTTTTATGATGGCCTCAGTGGTGGTTGACTTCATAATTATCACCTCCAACCACTTAGAATACATGTCCACCACTATCAGGAATGGTTGTCCTTGGCAGGGCCAGCGAAGTTGATGTGCACTTGGGCCCAGGGGGATTTCATGGGGGTTGCCGATGGGGGTGCTGGGCAGGTTTCTTGACATGGGGTGAAGGTGGCAACCAGGCTTCAACTTCGGCCACCACACATAGCTTCTGGTGAGGGCTTTCATCCGGACAATCCCCGAGTGACCCTCGTGCAGTAGGGTCAGTACCCTTGTCCTTAGTGGTGGGAGAATGATCAGCCTCTCCCCCAACAATAGGCAGCCCTTGATCACTGACAGTTCTGTCTGTCTGTTTTTAAATGGTTTTCATTCGTCCCCATCTATGGTTTCCAGCCATTCCCTCCATACCCAGTTTGAAATCTGCACCATGGTTTTGTCTTTAGCTGTAAGTCTCACGATCTCCGTCAATGTCATCAGTCCAGGCCGGAGGCTTTCCACTAAGAATATGGAAGTGGATGGTGCTGGGTCTTCAGTGAGGTCTGGGAGGGGACAGCGGTTCAGGGCTTCACCATTGGTGATGTCTTTCCCTGGTTTGTGAATTAGACAGTAACTGTAAGCAGTCAGGAACATAGTCCATCTTAACATCCTGGGTGAGAGAATGTTCGGTGTGGGTTTGTCCCCGGTGAGAATGTCCAGCAAAGGTTTGTGGTTGGTAACCAAGTTGAATTGCCTTCCATAGAGGTACTCATAGAAGCGCTTGACACCTGCTACCGTGGAAAGGGCTTCCTTGTTGATTTGACTGTAGTTTTGTTGTGGTTTGGAAAGCGTTTTAGAATAGCATGCGATGGGGGCTTCTCTCCCGTTTGGAAGTTTGTGGCTGAGGACAGCACCAATTTCATAGGGGGAGGCGTTGCACATTAGTGTTAAGGGCAGTGTTTCACTATATTTAATGAGGACACTGCTGGATGTTAAAATGTTTTTTATTTTTTTAAATACGTTGGCTTTGCATTGCCCCCAGGTTCAGTCAGTTGTCTTGTCTAATAGTCTATGGAGTGGTTCTGCGATGGTTGCCTTCTGCAGTAGAAAGATATTGTAAAAATTGAGCAACTCTAGAAATGCTTGTAGCTCCGCTTTGCTTTGGGGGGGGGGGCTCCCTTATGGCCTGTAACTTGGCACTTTTGGGTCGTATGCCTGATGCATGGATGAGGATGCCCAGGAACTTCACTTGGGGGACAGCCAGGTGACATTTATTCCTTTTTAATTTTAGTCCGGCTTCCTGGAATCTTCCCAGCACTACCCTCAGTTTCTCTATTAACTGTTCCCCCTTTTTTTGCTAATATAACATCGTCAAAGTATGATACTATTCCTGAGATGTTGTGTAACAGTCTCTCCATGATACTCTGGAATAGGCCGGGGGCTATGCTTACTCCAAACTGTAGCTGGTTGCATTTAAATGTGCCCCGGTGAGTGATGATCATTTGCACTTCAGCGGTTGCCTCAGCGACCAGCAGCTACTGATAGGCCTGGGCCAGATCTAGTTTGGCATAGATGTTTCCCCACCCCAAGGAATATAGGAGGTGTTGCACAACTGGCACTGGGTAGACGCTTTACTGCAGGGCCTTATTCAGGGTGGTCTTGTAATCAGCACAGATTCTCACTGCCCCGTCTGGTTTAATTGGGGTGACTATTGGGGTCTCCCATTTGGTGTGGTCAACCAGCTCAAGGACCCCCTGGGCAATTAATTTATCTAATTGTTCCTCAATCTTATGCCGGAGAGCAAATGGGACTTGCCATGGCTTTAGTCAGACAGGAGCTATGTTGGGGTCTAGATTAAATGAGATTGGGGTCCCTGTGTATTTGCCCAGTTCATCATTGAATACATTGCTGAAGTCATGCTCTAGTGCTGAGAGGTCCTCTTCTCAGTGTGGGGGGTAGTCTCGGTGGCATGGATGCCGGTAAGGTGGATCTGGAGAGGTTTGAACCATTCTCTTCCCAGTAGGCTTGGCAGGTCATGGTTCACTATGGTGAGTGGTAGGGTCCCTTGGAAACGGCCATATTCTATATGGACTGGCTTTCTGCACAGGACGGGGATGTGGTAGCCTTGATAGTCCTTCAGGATGATCTTTTGTGGCTCCAGTTGTTCATGCCATATGTTGGGCTGTAGTTTCTTCAGGGTTTCCCACGAGATCATGGAGATGTATGATCCTGAGTCCACTTCCATTTGGCATGGTTTGCCTTCGATGCTCACATTGGCCATGATTTTGTTGGCTTCTTAGGCATCTGTTCTCCTCACTTGGGTGTGGGCATAGCCAATGAAGGTAAAGTGTGCTTCTTCTTCCCTTCTTCTTTTTGAATTTCCCACCAGTATTCTTCTGGCCTCCCCCTTGGCAGCCATATTGTCTGGTGGGGAAGGACGCTCTTTGGGCATGCTTGCTGGTCAGTTGGCTGGCTCGGCATACCTCCGCAATGTGTCCTTTGTGGTCACAGCACCTGCATGTAGTGTCTTTAAAGCAGCATGTGGAGCAGTGATGATTTCTTCTGCAACCCCCGCACGGCTTGGTCCCTTGCTGCCCCACTGGCTTACTGGACCTCACCTTGTGGATATCCTCATCATCCTCATCACTGGCCTTGGAGTTTGAGGTGTCTTGGGTTGTGCGGCAATTGACCTGGGTGGCATGCATCTTTCCGGTTCCTTTGATTCACGCTGCGGAGCTCTCAGAGGATTTCGTGCCTCAGGCCTCGACAATGGTTTCCTTGAAGGAGACATCCTCTCGGGCCAACAGTCGCTTCTGTAGGGTTAGGTCTCTCATTCAGAGGACGGGCTGGTCCCAGATCATGTCCTTGGTATTGGGGAACCTACAGTTCTTTGATAGCTTCTGAAGTGCAGCCACAAATGTATTTATCATTTCTCCCTCTCTCTGGCTCTGCGTATAGAATTCGTGGTGGTTGGCCAGATAGGAAGGGGACAGATCGAAGTGTTCCTTCAAGGTTCACTGAATCTCAACCCAGGACACGCTGCTCAGCTTGTTGGCCACGGGCATCCACCATCTTGTAGAGCTCCATGTCACAGTATGTTTGGAACAGGGCTTTCTTCTTTGCATCAGGGCAGCCTGGAGTCCATTGACTTCCAGGTGTAGGTTGAATCGGCCCATATAGGAGGACCATTTCTCCTTGGCCAGATCATATGGGATTGATATCGGGCGGTGTGCCATGTTGATGGGTGCAGTTGTGATTGTTGTGGTGGCCGGTAAAATGGCATTCGATTCCCATGAGGTTGTCCTTTGTTCTTTCCTCAGCTCAGGATCCCATCCTCATCGCCAGTGTTAAGTGGGCACACGGAGTGAAGAGGCAGGACACAGCTGGAGTAGGTAAAACATTTTATTCAGTTGTAAAAAACACAAGCCACTTGGCCGTGGCTAGTGATGGCTTATATAGCCAGCGCTGTCCAATGTTTCAGCCACTGATGGGACTTTATTTCTCCTGCCAGTGGCTGGTCCAATGAGTGGAGTCCGACATCAGACTCCACTTCTGTGACCATATTTGGTAATACTTAACAAAAACCACTCTTATCATGCCAGAGTTCTGCTTGTTTAAATACAACAATATTATTTTCCTTATACATTAAGGTAAGTCCTGCCATTTACAGTAGAGAAGGTTGAAGTTCCATATTAGAGCACATACTATGTAAGAAAAAAGTTCCAGGTGGTGGGTTGGGCTCCTTTGAGTGGATTTCCCTCCACAATTCGTCCTACACTCCTGAAGAGAATATGTTCAGGATAAAACTATCAAACACTAGTTTCCAGAAAAATCTCTCTAGTACTGAATTATTCAAGAACAGGTTTTCTCCCCTAGTTTTCCTTCCTTATTTGTAGGTTAATTGAAGGGGGTTCAGTTACTGTTACAATGCTTTCAGAATGAATTCTAAATCAATAAGTATTCAGATCTTTATTGTGTATTTCAAGGAACTAAACTGACATTGAAAGCTAAAAGTAGAAACTCTAATTTCTTCAGAATTTATCTCAGTGGTTGCTCCTTAGCTAGGAACACAGAGCACCTAAGGGAGATGACACAAGCAAGACAAGTAGAATAAAGCAAGGAGCTCATATCATTTTCCACAATATAAAATCATAATCTCTATCTGCATCAAGCTCCACTGTTCCCTAGAGTGCTGTATTTTTCTTACGTCTATAGGACTTTCAGATATTTTGGGTTTTTATGCTTAACTGGCTTTGAGCCAGCCCAGGGACAGACTCCAATTCCCTCTTTATGGAAAAGCAAAAAAGACTGGCATAATGGAGTTCAGTTTTCTTCTTCTTTAGAAGCCCACCTGAAACCAAGAAAATGTTGAGGAAACAAGCAGGTTGAAATGCTGACGAGAAGAATACTGAGGAGGCCTCATGATGGGATAGGATCCCCATGCTGCCACTAATAAGTCTTTTCAATAATGGCCATTTCAGCTAGAAAAAATGCATCTATTTAGTCCTGGAAATTATATTGAGCTAAATTACAGAATTAGGATATTTCTTGATCTTCTAAACTCTTACTATCTAAGTTGTAAAGACGCATGCCTTTTTTTGTCCACAACTCTCTCTCTCACATGACAACAAGACCACAGTTCATGGATTTCTGTTCCTTGTTTTCATCCCAAACATTGCTACATGCTAATGAACAGTGGAGACCTGAAATTATGAGGTTTTTTTAAGCCCTGTGTAATTAGTAAATTCTTCTAATTTCTGACTGGAATGACATGAAGAACTTTGTCCCAAAGGTGCTTTTCAAAAGGAAACTGGACTTTGTTTTTGTTTTTTGTTTTCTCCTAAAGATGTTTTGCTTCTCATCCAAGAAGCTTCTTCAGGGTGCTTTTTTGTGGAGTGTGTGTGTGTGTGTGTGTGTAAGACATTTTGTTTCTCATTCAAGAAGCTTCTTCAGTTCTTCCAAACTGAAAAATCTCTTGGAGAAGAAACAAAATCTCTTCAAGAAAAAAAAGTTGCCTTTTGGAAAAGTACCTTTAGAACAATCATGACATGGTGCACTAAGAATCTTCATAGACATGACCTGGATGTTTGAGAATCTCCAACTTTGAAATTGTGAAGGTGTTTTTCTCTAGTTCTGAAAAGACAAGCCCAAGTGGGGGAAAGGATGATTGATCTGTGTAGTTCTCTGCACAGTTAGGAGGGATAAAGAAACAGGGGAGCAAAATTTACCCTTAAGAACAAGCTGGACAGAACATCAGGCCATCACTGTGGCCACTGTGGACGAAAGGAAAGCTATCGGGGGGGGGATGTAATCTTCAATGTCTGGCAAACAAATAACTGAAGGCTATCTACTGAAGATCCCTTAGTTGATTCCTCCCAATTCTGTAACAGATGTAGATCTTTAAAACCAGCAACAGCATCAAGATGGAATTAGTTCAAATAACAAAAGTTTAAATTGAATTGACTGGCAAGAAACATTCTGAAATAAATCACACTCAATTTGAATTTCTACAAATGTTGAAAGAGCTGCTTAATTAGAAGTTGGTGGAAAATTATCACACAGTTTTGCTGGTTTTAAACAGGTTATTCTTTAATAGGATATATATATATACTGCTCTATATGTATATATATATATATATATATATTTTTTTTTTTATAGTATTCAGCTTTGTTCGGGTATTTTCCCACGTCATTATAGTTGTGCTTTTAAAGTTGTAGCAACATTTCAGCAGAATCTCATCTGCCATCATCAGGTTTTTGTATAGTGTTCATCTGTGAGTCAGACTTTCACAGCCATTTCTGTTTTAAATTTGGTGCTAGCCTACTGCTGTGCCATAATGGTTTTTTTCTTCATCCTGATTGGTTGGGAGTCTTGGTCTGTGTATATTGGTCTTGGAGTTTGCTGTGTTCTGCTTGATTGGTGTTTCTCATATCTTTCCATAGAGATAGAAAAACGCCCACACAGCAGGAATTAACGAAATGATACCTCCCGCCTACCAGCCATCTGGAAACCCGCCCTCATTAACAAGATCCTCCAAAAACACAACATTAAAACAGCATTCTGCACAAACAGAAAAATATCCACCATCCTAAGAAACCCTAAAGACAAAATCGAGTTAGAAAACCAAGGAGTATACGAAATCCCTTGCACCGCCTGCCCCACCACATACATCAGACAAACAAACAGAAGAATAAGTGCACGCATTGAAGAACACAAGAACTCAATCAAAAAAGAAGAACCAACCAATTGACTTTAAAAATACCAGAACTATCGCCAAACTTAACACTTCAACAACAGAATAATCAGAGAAGCCATAGAGATAGAAAAACGCCCACACAGCATGAATAAGTGAGATGATACCTCCTGCCTACCAGCCATCTGGAAACCCGCCCTCATTAACAAATGAGTACCTAACACGAAGAAGGACACCAAACCCACACCCATGAGGGCCACACAAGATGCTACCACCACACTTCCTCACTAGTCCAACACATGGAAGCCACAGGTCATAGAATCAACTTCAATGGCACCAAAACCCTAGCCACTATAGAAAATCCCAGCCACAGAATCATCAGAGAAGCCATAGAGATTGAAAAAAGACCAGAAAGCATGAACAGAAGAGATGATTCCACC